CCCCTTATTTTAAAGATGGGGTAAAAACTCCTTACTTTAAAGTTGGGGTAAAAAGTGTCAAAAAATGATAGTTAAAAGTTTTAACGATTTTAATAAAACAATTAAAACGTATTTAAATTTAACAATTAAAATCTTCAAATTAAATAAGTGAGGCTTCGAGTGAGTCATTTTGAAAATTATTGTATCATATTCTTACCTTTCAAATATGAGAATAAATAAAAAATTATAATTGCAGCCGAGTACTTCATCGTTTTCTATTTGAAAATAAATGTTGTTTTGATACATTTAATTCAATAGTTTTAAAAGCGCAGATGTAATAAAATTAAAAAATAATAGTTAAATTTTTATTTTCATTTTTATTAATTCAATTATTTAATTTGTTTTATTAGATAAATTTTTAAAACACTATCTTTCAAAATTTAAAAAATAAAAAAATTATTAAAACATTTCATTTATCAATTAGTATTATTTTAATTATTAGGTTAAATTATTATTTTTTTATTTTTAAAATATTTTTAAAATTCATTTATAGGTTATTATTAACAATTAATGATTATTTTTTAACTCTTTTTTTTTCATTAATTTTACATTTCGTGTTGCAATTATTCTATATCATTATATTTTGCCTCCGGCTAGAAAAACGAAGGTTCCAGGTTCGCTTCTCGATGTAGAAATTATTGAATTTTGGTACTTTATAAGCAGGAGATCTAGAGCTCTGGACATATTTTCGCGTCGCGGTAAAAAAGGAGGCGTGAACGTTCAGGTTAAATGCACTTACGCGGTGCTCTGTGGCAAGACCGTTAGGTCTTCTTGGGACACCTAAATAAATAAAAAAATTATTAGGTTGCATTTTATGAGTACATATAAAGTATATAAATATACAGATATAAAACATTTTTTTAAAAAAATTATTTTATGAAAAATTTGAATTAAATAAACAAAATCAATTTAAAAAACAACAAATTTTTTCTTCAAATTTTTTTTTTGCCATAATAAAATGATATACTTTAAAGCTGACCAATTAATGAGAAATAGCAATAGGTTTTTTATATTCACCAAACTTATTGATTATTCGGATATTCGGGCGCATCGTTAAAATTTACAAAGTTTTTATTTCTAATACACAACCTAAAAACTAGTCCTAAACTAATAAAATCAAAGTTTTAAAAATTCCTTTATATTTTTTGATTTTATATTTAAGATACAATATTTTATTTTACAGATACAATATTTTTCGAGCACAGTAAAAAAAAAAAAAAAAAAAAAAAAAAGCCATAACTGTGAACTTTTTTTTTTTTTTAATTTAATTTTTCGTTTTTGTTTTAATTAAATTCCGTAATATAATACCAGATACTCTTGTTCTTTCAAAAATAAACCAGTTATAAATATAAAAAATCAAAGACAAAATAATAAGAGTTAGATATACAAAAATAAATAAAAACGCGGGAAACTTGGAGAAGACCATTAAGTCTTATCATCAAGAACCGCTGTAATTATGTTTTTACAATATTAAATTCCTATAATAGTGTTAAAATCAAAACTAAGGTAAAATTAACTAAGGTAAATAGTGTTAAAACTAAAAACTTTTCAATGTAAAAAGACAAAAACAAAAAAACAAACAAACAAAAAAACAAAGCAGTTTAAAAGAAATCATTAATATGATTTGTATACTTTAAAATATTCTTTTTTATAAGTTTTTGAAAGCAATTTATATTGTTTACACCTGGTAAATTATATTTTGCTAAGATTTTATTCCAGATATGCGGAGCACGATACGTAATTTTAAATTGTTCTTGTTTAGTTTTGCACAATGGTTCAATTAAGCCTGTTGTGCGTAAAGTATATTTAATGTTAGGTTTTATTTTATAAAGATCATTAAAAATTGAGGGGCATTGTTGAAATTTACTTTATTACATGAGACATAAAATTTTATAAACGTTTATCTCGTATAACGTAAAAATATTCATAAATTCGAACAGTGGTTTTGCATGTTCGTTTTTATTTTTAAAATTTATTATTCTAAAGGCATGTTTTTGTTTTTGATAGAGTGTTTCAAGCATTAATGTATGTATATAATATATATATGTAATATATATATTTGTACATATAATATATGATTGCTTTTAGTTGTACTACACCACGCAATATTCGGGTAATTCAAGTAACTTTGTATAAAACTGAAATAGATTTGTGACTGATATAGAACGCCAATACTTTTTGATATTTCGCTGCCAATATAGGCAATATGTTTATTCCAGGTAATATTTTCGTCATTGAGTGTGTCATATATTATACATGTATATATACGGCCCGATCTTATAAATCGGTGCCGGTCTTTAAGGAGAATATATTATGAACACAACATGGCGCTACGAGTATGTAAAGAAACGTGAAAGAACAAATAGTTTTTGTTTAAAGATTATCTTGTTTAATCTTTTGAATCTTTGCATTAAAATAAATAAAAAATGACAGAAAGTGGTAAGGGAGGTGTTTTTCCTCCAATCTTAGATTTAACTGTAGATAGATTCGCTGCATTTCACTCATGGATTGAGAAATGGCATGATTATGTTTTATTGTCAGATTTAGAAAAGAAACCACCAGCATATCAAGCTGCTATGTTAAGTTATACATTTTCTTCAGAAACTCGAAACATTTACGAATCATTAAATCTAACCGAATATAAAAAAACGAATCCAGCTATTATATTGGAAAAAACGGAAGTGTTTGCTAAAGGTATTATTAATGAGACTTTAGAAAGACATAAATATTTTAAACGTTTTCAAGAAGATGGGGAATGCTTTGATGATTTTTTAACCGAAGTAAAATTACTAAGTAAAAATTGCAACTTTTGCAATAATGAAGACTGTTTTGGCAGTTTATTAAGAGATAAAATTGTATATGGAATACGGTGTGACAAAGTACGTGAGAAATTACTTTCTGAAAAAATTTGACACTTGATAAAGCAGTAGAAATTTGTCGTTCTTCAGAAAAAGCACAAGATGGTGTATTTGAATTGCAAAATAATAACAGTAAAAGTGTTATTATTTTGCAATTCAAATACACCAAATACACTTCTCAAATAGTTCAGTTTGCCTAAAAACAAAGCCAAATATTCCTGATACATGTGTTGATCAACAGAATGATAGTAACAATTTGCCAAGTATGCAGGATCTTGGTGCATGGTTTACTTTAAAAAGATTTATGTGTGCTATGATTTCCAAATCAAAAAGTAACATTATGGAACAGTTTCCTCTAGTTTTCAAGGGGTTAGGGACTATTAAAGGTACATATTACATATTACCCTGTACATATTACAACTCAAGAAAATGCAACACCGTACCCCATTGGAGCACCACGACGTGTAGCGTTCCCACTACTAGAACCGTTGAAGATAGAACTAGAGCGTATGAAAGAGATGGGTGTTATCAAAATAGTAGATCAACCTACAGATTAGTGTCATCCAATAGTTGTGAAAAAACCAAATGGTTTTTCACAACTACTTCGTATTTGTATTGATTTAACACAGTTAAACAAACACACCAAATGTGAATTCTATGAACTGCCAAGTGTAGACGATACATTGGCCCAACTTGGAAACAGATGTAAATATATGGCAAAGTTAGATGCTAACTCAGGATATTGGCAGTTACCAATGGATATTGAAAGTCAGTTAAAATGTACATTTACGACACCTTTTGGTCGGTTCTGCCCAACAAAGGGGGCCATTTGGATTAACATTCAAATTTGGATTAACATCCAAATTTGGATTAACATCCAAATTTGGATTAACATCCAAATTTGGATTAACATCCAAATTTGGATTAACATCCAAAAAAAACTCCCTAAAATTTTTAGTAAAAAAATGGATCAAGTTATAGATGGTCTAAAAGGAGTGGTTAAAAGTATGAATGATTTCTTAGTTTTTTAGAAATACAGAAATAGAATATAATGAAAACCTTGTAGCATTGCTAAATAGATTTGCTGAAAATGGAGTTACCCTTAATGTAGAGAAATGTTTATTCGATCAAACAGAAGTGGAGTTTTTAGGTCATAAAATATCAGCACATGGAGTAAAACCATTGACCAAAAAAGTTGAAGCAATAAAAAATTTTCCGAAGCCAACAAACATTACCTCTTTACGTAGTTTTTTAGGCATGGCCCAGCAATTATCTAAATTCAATCCATCGCTTGCTAAAGTAGCCGAACCCTTGCGAGATCTTTTGAGTTCTAAATCAGCACGGTTTTGGACTGAAAATCATACAAGAGCATTCAATGAGGTAAAAAACAGTTTAACCAATCTACCCATTTTGGCGCACTACGATGTTAAAAAACCTGTAAAAGTAAGAACAGATGGAAGTTTATTAAATGGACTTAGCGTAATAGTTTACCAGAATCATAATGGTATATACAAACCAATTGATTGCGCATCTAGGTTTCTTACGACAACTGAAAAAAATTATTATCCGATCAAAATGGAAATGTTAGCAGTAACATAGGGGGCACACGAATGTCTAAATATTTGTATGATTTACCAAATTTTATATTAGAAACAGATCACAAACCATTAATTCCAATATTAAATTATCGTTCATTTATTGATATGTCTCCAAGAATTCAACGTTTAAGAATGAAGTTATTAAGATTTTCATTTAGTGCAGAGCATGTTGCTGGCAAGTCTATTAATGATGCAGATGCAATGTCTCGTGCACCTGTATCTAATCCTACAAAAGATGATGAGATTGCAGAAAATGATCTGAATGTGTATGTTAATTCTATAATAAAAAGTATGCCTGCTACAGAGAGTCCTTTAGAAGGGATTAAGCAAAAAACTGCGGAAGATCAACTTTTAAACCAATTGCAAGAAAGTATAATTTCTGGATAGCCAAATTCAAAAAAATACTGTCCGGCAAATATCCAACCTTATTGAGATTTTAAAGATAAAATAGTTAAAATTGATGGACTCTTTTATTTATTAGAATAGAATAATAATCCCAGTTAGTATGCGGAGAGAAATTCTTTCAAAATTGCACGAAGGTCATTTGGGAATGGAGAAATGCAAACGACGTGCACGTCAGAGTGTTTTTTGGCCAGGTTTAAACAACCAAATTGAACAGTTAATTAGAAAGTGCGAGGCATGTTTGAAGTATCTCCCATCAAAGCCAAAAGAACTTATGCTAACTCCTGATGTCCCAACACGGCCATGGCAAAAACTGGAAACTGATTTGTTTCAGTGGGCTAATAAAAACTATTTAATTATTGTCGATTATTATAGCTTGTGGACTGAGGTGTTTCTGCTTCCAAATACTGGATCAGCAAATGTTATACAAGCTTGCAAAGAATCTTTTTCTAGAAATGGTATCCCTGAGGATTTAGTGTCAGATATTGGTACACAATATAGTTCGAAAGTGTTTCGTCAATTCTCTCAACAGTGGCAATTTAAGCACATAACAAGTAGTCCACACTATGCACAACCAAATAGTTTAGCAGAAGCAACTGTAAAGTCAGTAAAAATGTTGATAAAGAAATGTTATATGTCGAATAAGGACATTTATAAAGGTATCTTAATTTTACGTAATACTCCAATAAAATGTGGTTTATCTCCAGCGGAACTATTACATGGACGTCAACTGAGAGATAATTTACCCAGGTTTCAATCTCAAAATAAGGAACAGTCAAAATATTCAAGAGAAATAGTCAAAGAGAGAGTTTAATCTAAAAAATACTATGATAAAAATATTGGTGTTTTTAAACCATACGTCTATATAACTGTTGCAATTCAAAACAAAGTAACTCGTGAATGGAGTCTTAGAGGTAAAATAATGAAATGTGTTGCCCCTAGATCATATGAAGTAAAATTAAATCACAATGGACATATCCTTCGTCGAAATCAGATTCAACTTAGAAAAGTTTACGCTATATCGGCTCCAGGGGTGACTCGAGATAATGGGGCTATAATGCTCAGAAGACAAGCTATTCCGTCGCTTGAAGAATGCAATAGTGGTACAACGTCATTGGAAATGGAGAGCGAGAATAATATAATAGAAAAGAACAATTTAGTTAAAAATACAAAAGATCGATTATCAAGTCGTGGAAAAAGAATAAAGAATAAAGTACCAATCGATTATGAAGATTTATGAACTAACTTGATTTCTTGACATTTATATATATATAGTTTGTTTATTAGGGACATGTGTCATATATTATACATGTATATATACGGCCCGATCTTATATATCGGTGCCGGTCTTTAAGGAGAATATATTATGAACACAACAATGAGAACACCAAGAAATTTTGTGACTCTTTCGCGACTAACTTCTGTGTTTTCAATTACTAGTTTTGGAAAAGAAATAGAATTTTTTTTTTTTAAAGGGTGGAATAATGAGAACTTTGTTTTATTTAAATTAATAGAAAGTTTATTTGCATTGAACCATAGTGAAATTTTATCTAACTCGTTGCTCATTTGTACGAAGAGTTGAGGTATATCTTTTCCTGAAATAAAAAAGTTACTGTCGTAACTAATAATGGTATGTGAACTAATAATGGTATGTGAACTAATAATGGTATGTGAACTAATAATGGTATGTGAACTAATAATGGTATGTGAACTAATAATGGTATGTGAACTAATAATGGTATGTGAACTAATAATGGTATGTGAACTAATAATGGTATGTGAACTAATCATGGTATGTGAACTAATAATGGTATGTGAACTAATAATGGTATGTGAACTAATAATGGTATGTGAACTAATAATGGTATGTGAACTAATAATGGTATGTGAACTAATAATGGTATGTGAACTAATAATGGTATGTGAACTAATAATGGTATGTGAACTAATAATGGTATGTGAACTAATAATGGTATGTGAACTAATAATGGTATGTGAACTAATAATGGTATGTGAACTAATAATGGTATGGCCATTAAATCTTTACAACTCTTTAATATCAGATGACTAAACTCACCAAAATCATATAGTAGTAGTTATTTTACAGATACAATATTTTTCGAGCACAGTAAAAAAAAAAAAAAAAAAAAAAAAAAGCCATAACTGTGAACTTTTTTTTTTTTTAATTTAATTTTTCGTTTTTGTTTTAATTAAATTCCGTAATATAATACCAGATACTCTTGTTCTTTCAAAAATAAACCAGTTATAAATATAAAAAATCAAAGACAAAATAATAAGAGTTAGATATACAAAAATAAATAAAAACGCGGGAAACTTGGAGAAGACCATTAAGTCTTATCATCAAGAACCGCTGTAATTATGTTTTTACAATATTAAATTCCTATAATAGTGTTAAAATCAAAACTAAGGTAAAATTAACTAAGGTAAATAGTGTTAAAACTAAAAACTTTTCAATGTAAAAAGACAAAAACAAAAAAACAAACAAACAAAAAAACAAAGCAGTTTAAAAGAAATCATTAATATGATTTGTATACTTTAAAATATTCTTTTTTATAAGTTTTTGAAAGCAATTTATATTGTTTACACCTGGTAAATTATATTTTGCTAAGATTTTATTCCAGATATGCGGAGCACGATACGTAATTTTAAATTGTTCTTGTTTAGTTTTGCACAATGGTTACTAATAATGGTATGTGAACTAATAATGGTATGTGAACTAATAATGGTATGTGAACTAATAATGGTATGTGAACTAATAATGGTATGTGAACTAATAATGGTATGTGAACTAATAATGGTATGTGAACTAATAATGGTATGTGAACTAATAATGGTATGTGAACTAATCATGGTATGTGAACTAATAATGGTATGTGAACTAATAATGGTATGTGAACTAATAATGGTATGTGAACTAATAATGGTATGTGAACTAATAATGGTATGTGAACTAATAATGGTATGTGAACTAATAATGGTATGTGAACTAATAATGGTATGTGAACTAATAATGGTATGTGAACTAATAATGGTATGTGAACTAATAATGGCATGTGAACTAATAATGGTATGTGAACTAATAATGGTATGGCCATTAAATCTTTACAACTCTTTAATATCAGATGACTAAACTCACCAAAATCATATAGTAGTAGTAGTAGTAGTAGTAGTAGTAGTAGTAGTAGTAGTAGTAGTAGTAGTAGTAGTAGTAGTAGTAGTAGTAGTAGTAACTTTTGCTGTGCTGGTAAAGCCAGTAAGTGTGTTTTCATGTATACTTTGGCAGCTGTTATGTTCCTTAACCAGCGACTTTAAAATTACCAACCAATTGTACTGTTTCGACTTCATTTGGAAGTTTCACGGATTCCATAAAAAAAAATCAAGGTTTTTTAGCCATTTCGGAGCTATTTTAAGGGCTTGAGCGGGTTTGCTTACAAGGGCTTGAATAATTTGTTAAACTATATAATTGAGATTGTTTTTACAAACAACGGAAAAGAATAGAATTAGCAAATCCTTTTTTAACAGAATAGAAAGTTGAAGACCAGCAAAAGATAAACGATAATAGAAAAAAATGATATTAAACCTGTTTATATGAGAAGAGTAAAATCAAAAGTTGTGAGTAAGCCTGGGTCTATTCTTGCTGAATTTTCTGATTTAAGTATCAGAAATCCAGTTCTGTTATCAGCAAAAAAGTTAAAAAATAGCAACACTTATAATTCTGTATATATTAGCCCTAGTTTAACGGAAGTTGAGAGAAAAATTTATATTAAGGAGGGAAAGGAACAAATTAAATTCTGAACTGGCACCAGATTCGCCTTTTTGATATGGCTTCCGTGGGAATCAAGTACAAAGATTTAAAGTTTTTTTCTAATCAAGCACAATTCCAAAACGGTTCAACGTTTTTGAATCTTATTAAACCTTTGGCTCCTAAAGAAACTTCAAAATGCATGTACCTTAATGCAACATTTTGAGAAAATTTGATGAATTTGCCGCAATTATTGACACAAATTGTCCGAATTTTATTGGTACTATTGAAATTTGGTTGAAAATTTTTTCAGTTGTTAACATAAATGGATATAATCTTTACAGAAAAGACCGAAGTGATGGTAGAAAGGCAATAATAATAATAAAGGCAATAAAACAATAGCAACAAATTATTGTCGAGTTTCTCTCACTTCAGTTCTGTGTAATATACTAGAAGGAATAGTCCGAAGTAAAATTGAAAAATATTTTCATGATAACAATTTGTTGACTCAAAAGCAACATCGATTTGTGAAGAAAAAGTCGTGTAGAACAAATTTACTAGAAACTATTGACTTTATAACATTATGCATAAAAAACGGTTGATGTTGTTTTTCTATAGCAAAAATATATAATATACAAAACAAGACCAGTGATTCCATATGCTTTTAACTTTAATATCAGTCTCGACAATAATTTGTTGCTATTGTTTTATTGCCTTTATTGTATAGTGGAGTTACGTTTAGAGATCTAAATTGAATAGTAACTAAAGATTCCCTAAATTTTAATGTAAGTGGTAGAGCAAAAGCATTTGATGAGTTTTGGAACAGTGCAGGATGAAGATTATCTGGACCACATGCTTTGTTTTGATGAAGTTTCTGAAGTCGATTTAAAACATGATTGTATATTATTTTTTCAGGATAAATATTAGTAAATGTTCAATTAGTGTACTATTTACTTGTGCAATTTTGTACTTTTGATTTAAAGAATGGTAGTTCCCCTTGGTCTTCAATTACAAAATCATCCTGAAAGCATTTATTTAAAATAATTGAAATTTTCAATTGATCTTGAGATATACCTCGATCAAATTTTCTCAAAGTCTTTATTTACGAAAGAGATTATTAAATCTCTTTCGTAAGCGAAACGGGTATTTTTCACTTCTAATTTTACAAGAGGACATAATATTTTGTAATCATTACCCAAATTTACATCTTTCCATTTACCAGCACTGTTTGTATAACGTAGATTCTGTTTTTCTGACACGATCTTTAATTCTAATTATATATGAATCAATGGAATAATCAACGTTAAAACATACATCGCCTCCTTTCTACCATCACTTCGGTCTTTTCTGTAAAGATTATATCCATTTATGTTAACAACTGAAAAAATTTTCAACCAAATTTCAATAATACCAATAAAATTCGGACAATTTGTGTCAATAATTGCGGCAAATTCATCAAATTTTCTCAAAATGTTGCATTAAGGTACATGCATTTTGAAGTTTCTTTAGGAGCCAAAGGTTTAATAAGATTCAAAAACGTTGAACCGTTTTGGAATTGTGCTTGATTAGAAAAAAACTTTAAATCTTTGTACTTGATTCCCACGGAAGCCATATCAAAAAGGCGAATCTGGTGCCAGTTCAGAATTTAATTTGTTCCTTTCCCTCCTTAATATAAATTTTTCTCTCAACTTCCGTTAAACTAGGGCTAATATATACAGAATTATAAGTGTTGCTATTTTTTAACTTTTTTGCTGATAACAGAACTGGATTTCTGATACTTAAATCAGAAAATTCAGCAAGAATAGACCCAGGCTTACTCACAACTTTTGATTTTACTCTTCTCATATAAACAGGTTTAATATCATTTTTTTCTATTATCGTTTATCTTTTGCTGGTCTTCAACTTTCTATTCTGTTAAAAAAGGATTTGCTAATTCTATTCTTTTCCGTTGTTTGTAAAAACAATCTCAATTATATAGTTTAACAAATTATTCAAGCTTTTGTAAGAAAACCCGCTCAAGCCCTTAAAATAGCTCCGAAATGGCTAAAAAA